TAACACACAAAAACAGTATGTGTTCGACACAAGAGACTCACCTCTTTTATGGTCGCGTGTGCGTGCGAAAGGGCTGCTTCTTTGTCGGCCAAACTAGCCGCGAGGCTGAGACTTCGATCGGCCTCGTCTCTCGCTGCCCTTAGAAGACTCCAGCGTTCCCTCTCCCTTTCCCGTTCGCGTTCCTCCGAAGGCATGCTAGCTCCTTGCTGCTGAAGACGTCCCAGGGTCGCCTCGTTCTCCCGCATCCGCTGCAATCAACGGTCAAAAGGACCATGTCCGGGCAGTAACTCCGCCCCCAAAACCTTCACCATCTACCGTAGTAGCATGCACGTGATTCAAAAATTGCGAGGAGCATAGCGATCAAGTAAATTGTTTTTCTCTTCTTTTTACTGAGAATTCTCGACTTACGCTTTGTGAAAATTGGAAGAGAGACTGAATTGAATTTATAGAGACAAATACACTTAAAACATAGATCATGACACGTTGCAGAAATTATGCACTGGAAGAAATTGTGTGTGTGTGTGTGTGTGTGTGTGTGTGTTCTAATTAAATCAATAAAAGAATTCAATAAGAATGGCATTTTGATAAGGACAAATAGAATTTTTGGTTACGTTAATGTTCTTGTTAGGCTTTCTGTTGCTTTAATTAGAATATATTTTTCATTAGTGTACATTTTATTTGATTACTATGACTTACGCGTTGGAGAAAGTAAAGTACATGAATGACGCAACAGACTTGCGATTAAAGTGGCAAAACATGATTTAAAATTTTAATATACATCTCTCGTGAGAGAAATTTTTTGTGGTACAAAAAAACAAAAAATAAATTTGCCGGAAAAAATGTATTCCCTTTGCAGAGATATAATTGTTTCAAATGTTTCGATATTATGTAACAATATCAATCAATCTTATAAAATTAACATTGCAAAATTTCGTTTGCGGAATATGAAATGAGTTAATAATTAATTGGAACCTGACAGAGAGAGAGAGAGAGATTACGCGCGGAAGCACGAAATGATGATCGATATTTGACGATATTCGAAATAAATTTAACCGCATCGATAAGCGATGATTTCGTCAAACAGTTAACGAACTAATGATGGCGGTGAGAGCAAATAGCCGCTGGAAATTAAATCGAAGGACATTTGATTGATATTTATGAAAATGTTAAATGATGCTCGCCAAACTGTTTCGCGCAGCGCGAATTATCTTGAGAATATCGCCTGGATTGGAAAACGGGCGAGAGGACATTCGAGATACGACTTGAATTTTGAAATGCGTGACACGGGCTTGAATGAGTGATATTCTCTATCAAAAATTTCATGTCATGTTACAAGCATAATTAATATTCAGCGAATGCAACATATCGTATAATTGAATAACATTATCAATAAACAATTATAAAAAATTATAAAATAATTATTAATTTTCAATGATAAAATCAATACTTATTATAGAATCATCTTGAACAACAGAGTAATATTAATTTTCTGTTGCTGACGTCGTAAGTTTGAAGTAAAATTATAAATAATGTCATTCCTTTACTTAAAAAGTGACGTAACTAAAAATGTAATTTTTTTTAGTTATTATCATGAATAAGTTGGTAATGCTTATCTATCAATCATCAAAACTAACTTAATTTCACCATATATCTGTCAAATAGCATTTGTATAATTTTTAAGATTTTCAAAGAGATCATAATTTTATACCATAAGCAAAAAAAAAAAGAATCTTTTATAGAGAACATTTAGAGTTAAGACAATTTGGTAATCGAATTTTGAAAGAAAAATTGTTTTCTTTTGAATTTAATCATTTTAGCTGATCAAGATAAATATAAACTGTCATACTTTTATGTTGAAATTTTCTCAATTTTTTTGCTTAACGTAAGATTTTAAAATATGACATATTCAATATAATTAAAGTTCAGTAAAGAACGCTCAGGTAACTGCTTAGTTACGACAAGACATTTTTGCGAAGGGATAACTCAATGCCCGCGAAGGGCAAGATTATATTTTAACGGGCGAACAGACATGACGTTTACTATCGACTATTAGCCACTCCGTCGACGATATCGGCTACAGCAAAGTTAATCCACTTATATCTACCTCGAGCTCAAGTAACTCTGTCGTACGTATAACAGGTGTTGCAGCAAGGTTTATCGGCTAAACTTTGGCAATACGATTACTACAAACGTTGCAGATCATCCGAGCGTTCATTGTTGACACGTCGTGGTTACATCCTCAAAAATTATTGGCCCAAAAGAATTTAGAACACAAAATTCTTCGTTATATAATTGCGACGTTAAAATGACTCATCACACGTGAGAGACATAAAAATCCAATTGTAATACTTTACTCTCCTATATTATGTGTATATTATATTAAAAAAATATTGGTTAAATAGAGAGAGGAGAGTAGCTCCACAAAGTGTGTATCGTTAATTAATAATTTTAAGAAATAAAACGAGCACTTCATAAACTCTGTTTATGGAATTAAGAAGAATTTGAGGCAATAATTTTTTTATTACTAAGCTTTGTGTACGTTCATTATGTACCTCTATTATAACTTTAGCAGGATCGCTGCGTTCATAAACATTCATAAAGCATTCGAGTAAATTAAATTCCTTGGAAGCGGACTACTGTATATAAATGTACGGATAATGCCTACAATTTCCCGTGGCAGCGAGATGCAAGAGAAAAACCTAAGCACTTTGGAAGCTTCGGCAAAGGGGAAGGCAAAGACGGGGAAGGGGGTAATTCCATCAACGTTTCATAAGCGCATTGCCGGGCTATGACGTTGGATGATAAGCAGAGAAGGGCCGGGAAACACATCAAGGCTCGCAAAATCGAACAAAGGTGGGCGAACTGAAAGAGATAGTACATGAACACGTAAATGGGCACAAACATGTCTATCAGCCTTATAGAAATCGAATACTGCTCAATTGAATACTAGCCAATTTATTACTGAAAGACAGTTATTAATTACTTATTTAAAGTACTAAAAGTACTGAACAACAGTGCTTTCAATACTTAAACCAGGTAATTAATTACTTCAGTATTGGCTGGTATAAAATTTCTGTAGGGCTTCTAAATTGAATGATAGATATCGAAACATCGTAGGACTTGAGGAAAATAAAATCTCTTTATTTGAAAATATAAATTAATCGTCCTCTTCATCGTTATAGAAAGAATTTGGAACACAAAAATTTAAAATTAAATAGTAGAATCAAATTTAAAAAATTTATCTGGAATTATCGTGAACTCCAGAAATCATTGTAAATTATCAGTCGAAAATATTATATTTTAGCGTTTTTCTTCTACTCATTTATGTGTACAGTCGCAGTCTCGTGAGGAAGAGAAAATTGAAGATAATGCAAGATAGAAAATCATAAGACCGTGTACTGAACGTAGTAATATGTTCGCACTTGCCAAGAAATGATATACAAAAGGAGAAAGAGACGGATAACTGTAGAAGGAAGGAAGAAAGATAAAAGTGAAGAAAAATTGATAACACGCTTTATGGAATAGGGAAAACCGCCGTAAAACGCGTGTATATTCTTTCGAGATGATAAAGGCAACACAAGAAGAAATCTTACGACGATGCATATACCACCGCTGTCGGTGACACTTAGTTTGATATTTTTATCAGGAACTTTCCTCAGAGAAACGATATCATTTCTCAAATAAATGAGTAGCAAAATTTCAATTTTCGAGAGATCCAAACCAAGTAAGAGTGCAACAAACGGAAGATCATTCCTTACTTTTGATAAAATAAAAACCTTTTGTAGCGATAATATTTCTTAGAAATTTGCGACTCGTAGAAAAGCTTGAAAAAATGTAAGTATATGTGCGTATGAAAAAATTTAAGTATATGTTACAGCTCAAAGTATTACCAAAAATAGAAAAATTTCATAAATTGTCTATACATATATTAATATAGTAGAATATCTGTATAAAATTTGAACAAAATTTTCTTATTCGTTCATAACTTATTGAATTTTTTCGTTTGCTTTGATTCTTATGTAAAATCGCGTTTTGTAGTACGATGAGAAAGTAAGATTACAAATTAAATCAAATTTGTATCAATAAAATTCTAATTTGTGAAAGTTTACTTAGACCCACTTACTCGTTAATAAATTTTATTTTTTTAACTAAAACTTTATTTATTTAAAACTGCAGCTAAATATCGCGTTGCATGAGCCATTAAATGCCAAATAATTTGTTTTGTTTTTTACTGTTGGTTTCAGAGACCGTATTTATACAATAAAATTTTTTATTGACTGATGTTGATTTTTTTGTTGATTTTTTGACTGATACTGATTTTTAGCTGAAATTCCACAGAAATATCTTTAATAAGAGAATTTTATCCGGATACGTCTTCAATACCTTTTTGGTATTTACAAAAATATGTAAGGCATGTGTTAACATAATAAAATTTGGTTAAACATTTTATGTAAATTTTTTGGTATAGTAATTAGATTCATTTTTCTGCATTAATTTTCTTTGTAATATGTCGCATTCTCTTTTACTTAATGCAAGCTATTTTCATTCCGGTGCGTTAAAAAATTTTATCTTCTTGATATTCATGCAAAGGAGCACTAAGCGTACGTTACAAAAGCGCGGAATCTTATTAATTAATTGCATATTCTTTTGTCCGTGATACCATGAATTGCGTAATAATATTTTTATTAAAATACCAACATCATGAGTAACAGTACGATGCTTTTGATCTTCGCCCTGCAATTTCGTTTGTGCGGAACGTTACTATTAATTATTCTTAGTGCTCTTTACATGCCAATAACATTATCTCGACATAAAAAAAAATTTGCTGCTATCATAAATTTACAATTGCGCTAATCTCTGCTAATAATAGCTCGTTTCCTATTATATTTATTTTGCGATAATTCAACATTTTTCCGACATTTAAACATTCTAATTATTATTAAGGAAAAATGATTTTAAAAAACACTTTTTTATTTCACTAATTTTATTTCTAAAAAATTTAGACTCATGTATTTAATTCCACTGTGTGTCGAAATCATTTTCAGTCTTTCTAAGGCAATCTTAAACTGAACTGGTATAGTAATATCACAAATTAAATTGCCAAGTAATTTAATAATATTGATGCTAATAAACATTTAAAAAAACTGTAAATAATTTATAACGAAAAATACCACCTCAGTCCATTCAAACCTTGGACTTTCTTATATTCCATAACGGATACCTTAACTAATTCGTAAATATTAAGATCCGATCGATAAGACCTTTTCGTTATTTGTTGTTTTCTTAATTTATCTCTAAACTTTGTATTTTAAATTTCATATTTTATTTTTCGCAACTAATTTTGTTATTATACAAACAAAGTGAGATTTCACCCGCATGCTTCCTGAATAATCTCGCG